TGTGGACCGGCGAAAGATCATAAAGCACTCGGTAGACCATGGGTCCCTTCTCGAAGAACTAGTGGGGTGTCGTAGTCCCTCGAAGAACTAGTGGGACAATACTAGCGGCCAACCATAGAGCTCCATATGGAGGCCAATACCATGTGTCAAGTATATGAATCTCAATAACTCCAATTATCTTCTTTCCCCACCCAAAATAGATGCACAGGGTTCAAAATTCCATATTTACATGCATAATCAACGGAATTTCATAATAACACATCATAATCATGATCACCAATTTCTTGCAATACAAACTATGTTAATCTTTTTTTTTTTAAATAACATCCCACAAGACAGTTCATACAAAACATAATATACTTTTATAAAATTAGTTATAAAGCCGCTCACCAACTTCATACTAGAGCACGCAACAGATAGAAATTTAGTTACCTGGTCTCCTAACTAACAGTCAACTACACAACCAGAGTCCAATCTCGAAAATACCACAATAGAGTTTATATCTACAAAAAAATTAAAATATTATCTCTATATTATTAGAGTAAGCTACTCACAAAATTCTAGCATCTAACTCCTCTTCTAAAAGCTTTAATTTTTACTCAGAATTCTAGTCTAAAAGACATTTCTCTAAGGTTTGGAATGAGAACATATATATATATGATTTAGACTCGATTCCTAAATTTTTCTTACTTAAATGTTCTTTAATTATTAGATTATATTATTAGAATCATCAAATTCATAATTTAAATAGACAAACTGTAAATTTATAATTTATATTCCATCTTCGAAGGACTTAGGCAAATAGACTTAGTACGAACCAGGTTATTCTCACTACAGAAGTTAAATCCTTAATCTAACCGTTGAATTTAATTTTCTATCTATCATGATACTATCCTCCAAATTATAGCTCAATCTAACGGTGAATGAACTTTAAAATGCTAATTTACTATCCAAGACTCTATCTGCTAAATCTAAAAGATATAAGTTAAAAACGTACCTAATAACCTGTAACTTGGATATCAAAATGATGATCCAACCGTTGAAATTAACGATTTGGATGTCCCAAATGGGCTAACCAAATTTTAGTCCAATCTAACGGTTCATAAACTCAAAACTAGCACTTTTCTGAGACTATCTCAGATATGTGCGAAAATTATTTACTCACTTCAAGCTCCACTCACTATCTCCTATATATAAGCTCCTCAAACTCCTTCACTCTAAAGATTAGTCGATGTGGGACTTCTATACCATGGTATAATTTTCTAGAATATCATCCACACACACTCACACACAAAAACATTATTAAAATAATAATAATAATTTGCCTATATCTAACTTTTTTTTTATTAACTTAATACTAAAATATATTTATTTATAAATTTAATTAAATACTAGATAAAAATAAGGATGTTACACCTCCCATCTAAGTAAATGGCATGCCATCTTCAAGTCACTTCACCAAAATATCTCTCTCCTATTATTGTCTTTGATTTGTCATTTGCATGTGTGATGATTTATAGGTTGGGGTGGTAATATGGGTTAACCCGTGGGTTGCGGGTTTGCTCATGGAGAGTTAGGGTTAAACGGTGCGGGTTGAAAAAGACCCGTGTAATGACGGATTGGCTTTTAGCCAACCTTAACCTGTCATGGTGGGTTGATGGCCAACCCGCCAACTATTATTTTCTTTTCTTTTTTTTTTTAATTTTTAATTTTTAAAATATTTTTTCTTATACAATATAAAAAAATATAATGATATTTTTACCTTTTCTTCAAATATTTGATTGAAAATACCAAATAAATTATAGGGAAAATCTCAAAAAAGGTCCATGGAATATGGGAAATGTCAGATTGGATCCTTAAATTTCGAAAATGACAGAATGGGTCATTGACCCAATCTGTCATTTGTGAAATTCAGGCGAATTGACAATTTTGCCCTCATTTATTCATTCACTATAATGATTCAAGGAATCACTATAAGAGTTTAGGTGTTACCTAGATTCGTGTAGCGAATAACTACTCACTTTTTCATAGTCAGGTGTCTTGTTATTAACTACAACTAATTCTGTAATCACTAGAACAATATAAGTATTACCTAGATTTGTGTAAAGAATAACTACTCATTTTTTCATAGTCAGGTATCTTATTATTGTCAGGTATCTTATTATTAACTACAACGAATCTTGTAATCACTAGAACAGTGTAAGCGTTACCTAGATTTGTTTAGAGAATAACTACTCACTTTTGCTCAGGGGCAAAAATATCAATTCGCCTGAATTTCACAAATGACAGATTGGGTCAATGACCCATTCTGTCATTTTCGAAATTTAAAGACCCAATCTGGGATTTGATATATTCTAAGGGCTTTTTCTGGGATTTTTCCTAAATTATATTTGCATTTTTTAACTTTTTTTAGATAGGATATAAAATATAATAATATAATTATAATAATTAATAAAATTTAAAAATAGAAATAAAAAATAAATGCATATTAACCTGCGAGTTGGCGGGCCAACCCATGACGAGTTGTGAGTTATACGCTGCGGGTTAAAAAGTTTTATTTATTGGTGGGTTGACTTTTAGCCAACTCTAACTTGTTACTTTTGACGGGTCGGCGGGTTATACCTGTGGGTTCAGCTCATATTATCGGTTTTATTCATAAGTGTATGCTGGCAGCTTTTGGACTTTCTTCATACGGCCATGCAGCTTTTAACTTTTATTCACTTTTCAATTGTTAGTTTTTCAGAGTAATATACGTTATTCCCATTTACAGCCTACTTGCTTTTTCATCTTTCATTGCCATAGCAAAACATTTTTGAAAGTCAAACGGCTAATTGTCAAAACATCAATGCCACTCTTCACGCTTGGATGAAGTCTTGTATGTAAGCCTGACATTGATATTATATATGTTTGTGTGCATGCGCATTTAATTGTGTTATATTAAAAAAAAAAAAGAAAAGCTTATGGTGTGTCAACATTATGATATCAAAATTCTAAATTATGCCAAGTATTCTTGGGAGAAGGGAGCTGAAAGAGTCTATGCTTATTATTTGCTTGGTTGTTTATTTTGTTTAATATTGACTCTTCTAATTTTAGCTAATATGGCGAATTAGGGGTCTTCTCCAATCAACAAGCTATTAGTCTAGGTGACAAGAGCCTTACTTGGGCAAAAAGAGAATAGGTATTGATTTCAATTACAAAGGGATCTGAAAATACCTTAAATTCACACTAACAAAGCATATAATTTTGAATTAACACATTACCTAAAGTTTTTAGTTGCTATTTTTCTTATTTTATTGGGATTGAACACAGACAAAATTGAGTTTACAATTCATCCTTGCCCCTTTTTCTTCCTAACTTGTTTCGCACACTCTTATACCTGATGTTAAAACAATAGTTCAAAATTTACATTAAACAAAGAATTTAAATCCTTTGTTATCATTTATATTCCACCTTATCCTATTTAAGTTAAGGACTAAGGGGGTGTTTGGGTTTTTTTCCAAACCATGGTTTGGGGACCCAAACCATGGTTTGAAAAAAAATTTGCCAAACACCCATTTTTTTAGGAAAACCAAGGTTTCTATGAAAACCATGGTTTTGGCCAGCCAAACCATGGTTTTCGTATAAGCTGGCAAATTGTGGATTGTGGAGAAATATGTTTGTTGAAATAATAATTGCTCCTGTCAGAGAGGCTTCAACGGTGGAAAACAAAATTCTCTCTCCTCCCATTCTGAAATTTGTCGTTGCCGGTGACAAATTATTTTATGAAAAACATATTTAGTTATTTTATTAATATATATACGTATTAATTTTAATTATTTTATTACTATATATTATTTATTAATATATATACATATTTAATTACTTTATTAAATTATTTTGCAAAAAAACATATTTATTTTATTACTATATATACGTAAGGTATATTTTATTAATATTATTTATTTACTTTAAATAAACATATATTATGAAATATATCTTATATGTAATTATCATTTAAACTTATGTCCTTTTTAGTAATTTCTACATATAAAAAAGCACTTCTGACAACAACTATCCAAACACTCTCACTTTATCAGAATCACTTTTTCAGAAAATCTATTCTTTCAAAATCTATTCTCCAGAAGCTATTCTCCAAACCATGGTTTGGCTTTATCCAAACACCCCCTAAGTTCTACTTCAAACCGTAACACCAGTAAGAGTGATCAATAAATAAATAAATAAGAGTTTAATAAGACTCATATATCAGACAAAGCCCACCAAAACCCCTTCCTTTTCTCCAAACACAAATTTGATTTGGACTAGGAGAAAAACCATATCCCTATTTTTTTTTTTTCTACTACACCAGTTTGTTTTTAAATCATGTTTAACATGTATTTGTCATCCCATTGCATCCAAAATTCTAGTCACTTCATGCCTTATAAGAAATAAAACCTTCTTCGCATATACAAGCATTAACGACTTGATATTAGAAACAGGATCAAACTCGCAATCTCTCACATGGACAAGCATTAACGATTAACGATTTCATATTATAAATGGGATAGAACTCGTAATTTCTCACATAAACACACATTAATGGCTTGATATTATAAGTAGGATCAAACTCACGACGTTTTACTCTCACTTTCCGGGGAATCTTTGATTCACTGTGCCACAATGCCATGTCCTTGCAAGGAACAGAACCTGTCCGCACAATAATCAAGTATCACATTTATGAACACCTTCATATATACGTGCCCTGCTTGCTACTTCCTTAATTTGTGTCTCACTCTCACCTCCTGAATCATGTGTTGTTCATTTCAGTTTCCTTTTTTCCTCCCAACAAAACACAATTCTCAATGTCCATTTCTTCAGTTTCTTCTTTCTTGCCAGCCTGCATCTTACTATCACCTTGATCAATTCTCTATAAAACTCCCTCCCCACCACTTCTTCTGATATGTTTCAAACCAAATCTCTCGTCTTCTCTCTAACTATTTCCTTTGATTCTTACCTGCAACACCATGACGCAGCAGAAGAAGCTTGAGAATCAGCTTCACCTTGTTTTGATTCCTTTTATGACCCCAGGTCATCTTCTTCCCATGGTGGACATGGCTACATTGTTGGCTCGCCAGAATCTGATGAAGGTGACCATAGTCACCACACCTCTTAATGCAGTTCGAGTCAGAGCCACCATTGACAGAGAGATCCGGTCTGGTTCATCTAACCTTCATATTCAACTCTTTCAGTTCCCAAATGCTGAGGCTGGTTTGCCTGAGGGATGTGAGAGTTTCGATGCCTTACCTTCCACAGATCTTCGATTTAACTTCATGAAAGCTGTGCTTATGTTGCAGAAGCCACTTGAACAAGTCTTTGAAAAGCTTAATCCAACTCCGACCTGCGTCATGTATGACCCTTATGTTCCTTCTGCAGCTTCTGCTGCTAAGAAATTCAGAGTTCCAGGAATAACATTCGATGGAACTAACTGTTTCAAAATGCTGTGCAATCATAATCTGCAAAGTTCCAAGGTGTACAAGGACGTGTCTGATTCAGAACCATTCTTTGTCCCTGGATTGCCCCATAAGATGTCGTTTAAAAGATCTCAGCTTCACCCATTTTTTAATGTCACCACGAAGCCTGACGAAGAGTATCGTGACAAAGTATGGGAATCTGAAAAAGAAGCATTTGGGGTGATAGTGAATAGCTTTGAAGAGTTGGAACCTGAGTACCTGAAAGAATACAGAGAAGTCACAGGAAAGAAGGTTTATTGTATTGGTCCTGTGTCCCTATCCAACATGGACAAGGCTCAAAGAGGCAAGATAGAGTCCTCCAACGAAGAAGAACAAGATAATGACTGCTTAAAATGGCTTGATTCATGGCCTGCAAGATCTGTAATCTATGTTTGCCTTGGAAGCTTAAACTGTGTACCACCAGAACAACTGATGGAGCTAGGTTTAGGACTGGAAGCCACAGACAGACCATTCATTTTGGTGCTGAGAGGAGCATACAAAAGAGAAGAAATGGAGAATCTACTGAAGGAAGATGGATTAGAGGAGAGAGTGAAAGGAAGAGGACTCATAATAAGAGGTTGGGTGCCTCAAGTTCTGATACTGTCACACAAAGCCATAGGATCATTCTTAACACACTGTGGATGGAACTCAACACTTGAAGGGATCAGTTATGGAGTGCCATTAATAACATTTCCTATGTTTGCTGAACAATTTTATAACGAGAAGGTTGTTGTGGAGGTGTTGCAGACAGGTGTGAAGGTGGGAGCTGAGAGTACTATGAATTTTGGGGAAGAAGAGAATTATGGTGTGAAGGTGAAAAGGGAGAAAGTGAAGGAGGCTATAGAGAAAGTGATGGGTGAAGAAGATGAAGAAAGTGAAAGGATAAGAGAAAGAGCAAGGAATTATGCAGAGAAAGCAAAGAAGGCAGTGGAGAAAGGTGGATCCTCTCGTCTGAATATGTCAGTTCTGATTCAAGACATGATACAACAGCGACAGGTCATAGGATTTAATAATTGAACGAGGATCAAAGCTTCAGCAGAGATCAAAAGCATCAAGAATTTGTCTTTTCTCAACTATGGAATCTGAATATTGTTAAGCTTGAGCCTGCTGCTTTTTCTTTTTCTTTTTCTTTCTCTTTCTCTTTCTCCTTCTCTTTTTTGGGAGACTGATTTATTAGTGACTTGAGCTAGTGTGTGAATCCTCCATTGATCCAAGAGAGCAGCGTCGGTGGTTCAAGCAAATAAATTTAGGTGATTTTTTTTTCCCTTTTGGATGTGCCATTTAGATTATCGTTCCTTCAATTGTCTTTGCCCCCTATTTGATAGTTTTATCTCAAATACCATTAGAAGAGTAATTCCCACTGGAAACAAAACTTCAATTTCTCAGAGGACTATATGGGAGAACTGGAGAATCACTATGCGGGATTGTGGTTGGATTCTTTTTGATACACATAATCCTCTGAATTTCTGATTGACAAAAGTAAGATATTATTGACTCAAATTTTCACTAGAGTAAGTTATTTAATAAGAACTCGTATTGATAACACACGAATATTTTTAACACACGAAGTGCTTGTTTTGCATCACTTGTATAAGTATTTATGAGCATGTTTCACATTATCTGAGATAAAATTCCTTTCACATACTTACTTTATATTCTGTAAATAACGATTGAAATGCTACTTATAAGCCATTTTAAATAGAAATATGATATAAGTGTGTTCTAACTCCCTGCACAAATGAGACTTGCTTATATATATAGGCACATAGCGCATTTCAAGTAAAGATTGATTACATGAAGTTGACAAAAAAAAAACTGACACGATTAAAATTAAAATTATTTTAATTAAAGTAACTTTAATACAGATTAGGATAGAAAAATACAGTTTTAATTAAAATAGCTTATACTGGTTAGGCAATTATGGAATTTGTTGTCATGCTAAACCATTTGTGAATGGGTTCTTGATCGGTGAAGAGATTGGAGAAACGGCCTTTTCTATCATTTTGGCAGCACGCTTAAGTTGATATTCAAATTCTTTTGATTTATATTCATCCATTATCAAAATTAACATAACACAAATTCAATTCACTCAAGTGTAAGAATTTGAAAAATCATGAATCTTGTAAAATATTTTTAAAAAAAAGACGCATGCAATTATCTTCAATGTTTCGTATGCAAAGAACATAAAATTGGATAGGTGCACATTTATTATTTAATACTCCCTTCGATTCTAAATATAAGACTCATTTTGTAGCGTAAATTACACTATAAAATGGATTTTATATTTAACACCGAAGAAGTGTATCATGTTGTTTTTTTCTAAGGGGAAAAAAGGATAGGTGTCCATTTCTCGTTTTTACTGAATGTCTTGCAGCAATTTATGTATTACATCAACCAGAAACGCTTTCTTTTTATTTTTTCCGTATTTGACTAGCAGGTGGAATTGGAAACCTTTCTGTACCGTTTTTCTTTACTTTTATTATCTTTCCCAAAATCGGTGAGATGCTGATTGGTGAGCTTAAGAGAACTAATTAGCTGTTGATTCATGAATCAGCATACCAGTCCATATATATAAGTCGCAAAATGAGCTCAACCACAGAGATTAATGAATGAATTGCATCATTCATGATTTATGAATAACAGCAATAGAGCTTATCTTGCCATGAAATTGATGAACATACATGAGAGATCGAAACTTTTTTTATGTTAAGAGCTACATAATTAGTTTACAGATAGGGAAAACTAATCTAACAGTCCTTATAATTTGATCAAATTTTGAATTAGATCCCTGTAGTTTTTTGTTTTTCCCCCCTTCTATCCACTCCTTGTTGTTTGCTCCGTTGTTAATGTTAATCCTTCCATTAATAAAAGATGCTGATGTGGTGCTACACACAGACAGTGATTGCATCCAAATTTAAGTGAGCTTCTGAACCTCCTCATCTACACGGTAGAATCTGCCATGGCCAGACCATCCAACCCAACAGATTTCATGAAGTCCTCTGGCGGAGGCTCTCGCTGTGAGCTTCTCAGGGATTCGATCATGCTCCTCCTTCATCCACCCTCAAACCACTTGTAGATGTACTGATTGTTGGGTAAAATCGAGTTTGCCACCATAAAAGCTCGTTAGCACATAAAATATTACTCCTTCAATCCTTAATATAAGACCTGATTATTGAGTTGATTTTGATTTTAAATATAAAACCTATTTATCACATTTGTCAGTTTTTTCTAAATTATCCCTATTAATACTCCCTTAACCATAATCAAGTAGAAGAGAGAGGAAGAATATTAAGAAAGATGATTATGGAGTTTTAGGAAAAACATGTCATATTTCTTATAATTAACTAACTTACCTAACTTTCTTAATCTAATCAAATTAGTTAAACAGGTATTATATCAAGAACCGGAGGAGTATTAAAAAACTATTACCAGTGGATCCAAAACTGATTAAATATTTTGAGAACCAAAGCAAGAGTAATATTTTGACGGCAAAGTCAATCTCAATATGATACACGAAATCGAGTTTTGTGCCTAAATGCATGTTCCTTTGTCTAATTATGGGAGAGAGGAGTGAAATTGTGAAAAATCTATATATTTATATGGATGTGAGAATCCGCACAAAAGAAACGAAACGGGAAGGTGTGCTTGTATATATTTGATTTCTCACGAGTTAGCAATCAACTCTGCGCAAAGACAAAAAAGAAAATCTCTCTCTCTCTCTCTCTCTCTCTCTATATATATATATATAGACACACACAAGTGTAAGAATTTGGAAATAAAATACAAGGGAAATGAATTGATTGATGATATATACACTTCTCTGTTCCAATAACTCAGTTTTAAAAGTAAACCGGGGAGATGAATTGATTGATTGGTAAAATTGTTTTCATGATTTTAAAGGATTTGATTTGCATACTTCAGTTAAAATCAAACCTCAGTTTAAAGCTCAGAAAGACCAAATATAAATTCCCACAAAAAACTTAACCTTGATGCCTTGAAGTGAAGTGATTAGCCAGAGTAGAGAACAGGGGTAGCGTGTGGTTTTGTAATTCCAACTATGGCGAATATTCAGTCCAAAAAAAAAAAACCATGGCGAATAGGCTATGTAAACGAGTAGGTTCATGTGTAGCGCCACATCAGCACTTGTTGACTGAAACTAACGGCATTTGCTAGTTTTATTAACAGAAGGACTACCATCAATAACTCAACAAACAATGAGGATCGGATATAAAGGAAAAAATTTATAGACCTAATTCAAAATTTGATTAAACTATAAGGATTGGTATGTTAGTTTTCCTGTAGAGATATTATGAAAATTAATTAATTTAATTATTTATAATAAATAGATATTATCTTACTTAAAACATCCTTACTAATTATATACATTAAAACTATCTTTTAATAAAAACTTCTTAAAGTCACCATACAAATTATTTAAGGGTCAAATAAATGAATATTTAAAACAAAAAAAGTGCTTGATTTAAGCATGTTTAAAAAATACTTTCACACAAAATTATTTTTAAAATTATAATTTGATTTCTATACAAATAGCCTAAAGTTGAACCCTTACCATGCAATACTAATTTTGTCATGATTAATTGTAATTATCCACTGTCGGGCTCAATGTTCCATGGCTTGAACATAGTAAAACTATTGTTGGTATTAGCATCATTGTTCAAAGGTATAGTTTCTCAATCTCGGAGATAGTAGCTTTGAAGCATCCATAGCGGGCGTCATTTAATATTTGAGGACCTTGTTATTACCGGACAGTACATGTAATAACTATAATGCCAACAAAGTTTGTAATTTTGAAACTAGGCTGAAATAAAACAAAATTTCCTTATTAAACACGCATTGAAACCAGAGACTAGAACCAGAATTAAAAAACCAAGTCATATAAAAAAAGGGTCATGATGTAACCCAATCTATCAATACTTGGAATGCTTCACTTATAACTTGAAATGTAAGAAAAACCAAAAATCTGGACGGGTTAATAAGCAAAAATTAGTTAAAACTACATTCTAAGAACAAACAGAAGACATTTATGGGCAGCTAAAAATATATTTCAAATACACTTGAACCTTTTTCTGAGAAATAAAAAATCAGACCAGATATTAAACCAGTTGAAATAGTAGTTTAAAAATCAGTAGATCATATGAGAATCAACTCAAAATCAAATCGATCATATTAAAATAATATAATTTGATTGAAAATAACAAAATATAACAATACTAATAATCATTAATAACAAAATATATAGAAATATAACAATATTTTGATAATAATAATAATAATAATAAAATACAACAATATTAAAAATTTTGATCTTTATGATTTCTCAATAACTAAAATTAATAGTCAATAATACCAAAATCATCATTAAAATTCATTTAAATCTATAATGACTGGAAGATTAGGAGCCGAATGAGAAAAATATGACAAATAGTAATACAATTATTTAAACGGGTTGTTCACACCAGTTTGACCACTTCAGTCCAGTTCAATCTATGAACCAGATCGGACCACTGACCGGTGTACTGGTTGAACCAATTAGTCCACTCTTTTTTTTTTTTTTTACTCTGACGATTTCAATCGCAGAGTTTGTCTGTATGAAGCAGATCCGCTGAGGACGCAGATTCCAACTTCCCATACCTCAATTGAATAGAAGATAATCAAATTCACCATACACAAAACAAACATTGCAAGTTCTAATTACTTGTTCTTCGCCACTGTTTCAAAAGCCTGGATTACGTGAAAATGCGTTGAAAGTGAATTTTCCATTTCTACATGCCTAGAGGTTTCAGTAAACCAATGAATCAGAAATTAATAGATACATGAAAAATATTTCAAAAGTGGTAATTGAAGTTGAAACAGTGAAATCTGGCATGCGTTCTTAGAAGTCAAGCAGCTGCCCTGGCAAATATAAGGAACAGAAACACAATAATGGGGCAAATATTGAGTTTCCTCGATGCAAGGGGGTGCAACAAAATTTTACAAGCCAATAAAACGAGGTCTGTGGGTGGGGTCTTCAAAAACCACTGGCAACCCAAGGTTACACATGAAGCACACCACCAATTTTTCAAAGCAAAATTATCAGAAACAATAAAAAGAAAACAACAAATGGAAGGAAAAATTAACATACTGCAGTTGATTTGAACTTATGACCAATACAGGCAACATTTCATCAGTTTTAACAACTAACTATCACTTTTACCTATTATTATTCCTCTGCATCTTCACTTCTCTTCTTATGCTTCTTCTTCTTCTTTTTCTCACTTTTATCTTCATCGTCATCAACCTTACCATTGATCTCAGCAGCGTTATTTTCAGCTTCTTTCTCCTTCTTCTTTTTCTTCTTCTCAGACTTCTCCACGTCCGGTGAAGCAGCTTCTGTCTTTTCTTTGTGTTTCTTTTTCTTCTTCTCAGACTTCACATCTGGTGAAACGGCCTCTGCTTCCTCAGCATCCTTATCCTTCTTCTTCTTTTTCTTTTTCTCTTTCCTATCAACTTCAACCTCCACTACATCCTCTTTTACCTTCTTGATCTTCACTACTTCTTCCTTTTCAGATTCTTCAACTTCTTCAGTTTTGGACTTCTTAGTGGGTACCGCAGCAGAGTCAGTGCTATCAACTAGTTTTCTTTTACGCTCTTGCCCATCCTCCTTACTTGCAACATTTTCCTTTCCCACTAAAGCAGTCTCCTTTTTGCTGGCACCTGGTTCAGCGTGCATACTGGCAATCATAGAATCTCCACCAGTTGGTAAAACTACATTCCTCAGCCATTCTTGAGGAGTATTCTCATTTGGCTTCCCACGCTTATCTAGCTTCCCTTCCGCGATCAACTTCTTCTTCATGGATGCTCTTGGTCCTAAACCCCATTTCCTTGGATAGGTATCTCTGTCCATAACCACTCTTTTGATCTTTGCTACCACACCATGATCACAAGTAGCCATGACAGCAGTAGTCATCTCTGCAATTCCCAATGCAACCGCTTCACCCTTGGTAGTCATTAGAACCACTTCCTCTCCGACCTCAATATCATTCTCAAACCTCAGTAACCCAGGAATCATTAGCTTCGCTCCATAACAAATAGCATTAACAGCAGAATCCTTAACAACTAATCTCTTATAACTCGTTAATAATACTTCCAAAGGCATAATAACCCTTCTCAAATAACTCTCATCTCTGTAGTTATCATAAACCCATTGAGCATCCAACACATCATGCATTGAAACCATATTATCTTTCTCACCTAAAATACCTGAACGCACCCTTCTAAGCTCCTGCATGTGGCCTCCCACACCAAGAATCAAACCCAAATGGACACAGAGAGTCCTCACATACGTACCTGCCTCACAGGAAATCCAAAATACAACCAAATGTTTGTCAGGGTCATACTCAAGAAGCTTACTTTCATATATTGTCCTAATCCTGAGCTGCCTCTTAACCGCAGAAATCAACGGCGGCCGCTGAAACACAGCTCCGGTAAGCGTCTCAAGTGCGCGCGCCACTTTCGCGACATCAGGAACTGCAGAGTGCAATCGAGCGACACATACGTACTCTTTTCCAGCACCCTGCTGCGACTTCACCAATCGCGTGGCTCTATCAATGCAAACTATGAGGTTGCCAGTGACCTTGGGATCAAGAGTACCACTGTGACCCGTTTTCTCGACCCGGAGAATCCGTTTAATCCAAGCGACGACCTCGTGGGAAGAGGGGTTCGCGGGTTTATCGAGATTCATGACACCGTACTTGATGTACTCGGGGAGAGGTCGCTTGAGAGGGGAGCAACCGGAGGGAATAGGAGTGTAGTGTCCAGTTCGCACATTGAGACGGTCGTAGTTCTTGAGGAGAATCGGCCATTGAGAGGTGTCAATGGTGGGAGTGTAGCTCTGGGGTTTGATCAGGAAGTCGGAATCTTGGACGTCGGCGGCTTCGTCTTTGTTACGGTGCTTCTTCTTCTTCTTGTCGGTGCGAGAAGCTTCGAGCTCAGTCATGGCTGTAGCAGCCAGCTAGCCTGCTTACAAAGGGGTAGGGTTTTAACAGTGGCTAGGGTTTTGGTGGAGGCGAGGGAACAAATGGCTACTGAGGGAAATGAAAATTTATAGGGTTTTTGGGGTTTGGGAAAATGAAGATGAAGGAGAAGAATCCTGGGGCTGTTTCTTCATCTTCGAACATGCAGAATTCGGCGCTGATATATGAGTTTAGCCCTAACCCAAATTTCAAGCCCTAGGCCCAATTTGAGGCCCACAAACACTAGTCCAGATTTTTCAAACCGTTTGCTAGGCCCAACATAAGCCCAAAACTTACATTCGAGAGTGGGCTATAACATAACCCAAGGTCAGCCCAATACAATGTATAATGGGCTTTAATGGTGCTTTGGTGATTTCATTGGTTGTTCTTTATGAACAGGATCCCTCATGGGGAGTGTGTGTCCCTCAATTGCTAAAGTGCAGTGTACAAATTAAAATATTCTATTTATTTTCATGTTTATATTCTGCTTATAATGGTCTATTGAAGAGATAATATGAGTGTAAAAAAATATAATAATATTTATATAGTTAGAAAATTCCTTTTCATTCAATTTAGGGACAGATATCCACTATATTTATTTATTTTTTATTACCTTTTTGAATCAAACAAAGTAATGAAAGAACTAAATTGGTAGAAGAAGAAGGTCAGAAAAATGAGAGAGAAAGCAGCGGGAATTCGGATATTAATTTTTTTTCATATCGTTAGAAATTAACTCATTTCGCTGAATTTGACACCGTTGGTGGTGGTGGGGTTGGTTTTCAATGGAAGAGAAATTGATGGGATCAAAATTTACAGAGGGGAGTTTGAAGGGACCAATGAAAAATGGTTGGCCGAAACCCAGCATGGGAGGGGCATAACCATGTGGAGGCTCTAGTTGGGGTTACGCGGCACAAATCTCATCACACAAATCCGCACACTTTTCTCTCTCTCTTCCTCTTCTCTTTCTTCACATTTTTCACCGCTTAGCAAAAGTCAACCAATCCTCGTCACTACCTTATGTGTCTATTTTGGCCTATTATTATTATTATTATTTCCTGCCCTTAATCCAGAATTATTTTTAACTAAATTGTACTTTAAAATGGCAAAATCTAATCCTTCTGTCCCTAATGTAAGAGCAAACTAATTAGGTGGAAGCTAAATAAATTATTTGATTTCATCAAATATGACATGATGTCTTTAAAATATATTTGTTATCATTACATTATATATCAGTTTATAAGTTTGAAAAATTAGTTTAAAAATATAATAAATAAAATGATTAAGGTCTTTAAAGTACCTTCCTATTAGCTCTATATATAACACCAGAAGAGTAGTATCAAAACATTTCATATATATAGAGTGAGCATCAATGGAGAAATAGCATACATGGGTATAAAATTCAGAGCTCTATCAAATTTAAACAAAAAAATAACGATGTGCCTCATACATTTACATAATTTAGTAAGTTCTCTATCAGTCCCATATATGCATGAGTAGTAGGAAGGATTAAAGAGGACATATGAAACTTGAACTATTTAGGGCCTATATTTTGATAGAAACCAGACAATATTCCTCAACCGATAACTAAATACTAATCCTTCCGAAACGCAAAGATCATCGAAATAGGTTTGGCCTATCCAAACAAAGTCTGTTCAATACCCACACCCTGGTTTGAATCCAAAACATTATGTTTGAGAGACCGAACCATCTACCAATTGTGTCAGGCTTTGTTGATTATTTAGAGCCTATTTGGAATCACATTCAAAAGCACTTATAAAATGTTTCAATTAGTCAAGACAAAACTCTCTATAAATTACGATTAAAATTTATTTATAAATCATTCTAAATGGTGCTTATAATTTGGGTAGAAGAAGGACTACAACTCCAAGGGAAGCATGAGGACAAATAAAAAATAATGATTTAATAAAGAATAGCAGCAGTGAAGTGTAAAAAAATTTACTATTATAACTTTATAAGAATTTCTGTATATACATTTTTACAGCAATTTTGTCATATTTATTGCTGTCGTGAATTAAGATTTTAAGTACTTTGGTACTTCAAATTCTTGAAAGAGGAGCATAGGTGTTTTGTTTATTAAGAAAATATAATCTTACATATTATATATATATATATATATATATATATATATGTAGATGCTATTATTCAGATATTCCTATGCTTATCCAGTGAAGTACTTGGGGAAATATATATCCACTGAAGGCGAAAGATACCTAATAAATAGCCAAATATTTAATACTTGACCCAGCAAAATTATATGCCACTATTAAATAGTCTTTTTACCAGACTTTAAAATAGTTATATCAACATTAATTAGTACTCCCTCCAATCTATAATATAAAAAGTTGATTAATTTTTCTCACACACAAAAAATAAAGTTTAGTCATTAAATGTGTCATAAAACAATAACATTTTCCTATTTCACCCCTAAGAAGAATGAAGTTACCTTTAATATTACGTTATTATTTTCTCTCATCTATCTCCTCTGTCTTATATATTTAATAGAATCAAAAATAAAAAAATCACATTAATTATCCTGACAACGTCTCATCTTTTAAAAAATTTTCTTCTAACTAACGTTTCAGGAAGAGTATACATACAGAAATTTTCTAAACTCTGGATTTTACACGGATAACCCCTTAGTTTTTAGAGACTTAACCATAAATCTTCATAGATTTTACTATCAATTATAGACCTTTTTAAACTTTATTCTTTGTGCAAAATATTCTAACTAATAAAGATAAATTTATAGGGAAAATGACAATAAAATACCACCTGAATTTCAAAAGACAAATAAGGCACCTGAATAAGCAAAATGACATATAGGGGACATGGTACCAATCTGGAATTCAGATTTTTGGCCAAAAGACCAAAATGCCCTGTCTGAAAGTGAGAGGAAGGAGAGAGGAAGACACTGATGAAATACGGGAAGGAGAGAGGAGGAAGACGCTGATGAAATCGGGAAGAAGAGAGGAAGGAGAGAGGAAGACGCTGATTTTCGATGGGTTCCCACAGCTTAAAATCTTATTGCCTAGCATTTCTCTAAAAAATTTTGGTTCTGTCTCTCTTCTTCGCATAAAACCATTTTCAGAGAATGTGAAGCTGTGGGAAAGATGGCGAAAATCAGAAAACAATGGCAAGCAATTATGTAACGTAATTGCTGTCATATGTCTACTGTTTTTGGTAAATCCTACTACGTAATGGTAAATTTCACTATACATGTAGTTAATTATGAAAGTTAATAGTTCAATGTTTATTGTGACGTACTTCAAATGCACGTTCACTGAATGATTTATTTATGCTTATAAGTTGCCTTTCCGGTGAAAACAGGTTTACAAAACCCATTGAAGAAGTAGTCACTTTCACTATAAAAGTTTAAATCCCAATATATGTTTTGTAAAATTCAACGTGAAATTTTATTGGTTTTACAAACATTGTTTATCTCCTGAAAACATGTTCAAAACCCATTAACAAAGTAGTCACTTTCACTACAAAAGTTGTAAATCACAATATGTATTTTGTAAAATTCATAATTAACTACTGTATAGTGAAATTTACAACCACTATAGTGAAAATGACCACTTCTTAAATGACTTTTGCAACCAGTTTTCAGGGGATGGACAACTTGTTTCTAAAAACCAATAAAATTTCAACTGAATTTTACAAAACACACAGTGATATTTACAACTTTTATAGTGAAAATGACTACTTCTTAAATGCTTTTGCAACCAGTTTTTCAGGGGATGGGTAACTTGTTTCTAAAACCAAAAAATTTACTATTATAACTTTATAAGAATTTCTGTATATACATTTTTACAGCAATTTTGTCATATTTATTGCTGGCGTGAATTAAGATTTTAGTACTTTGGTACTTCAAATTCTTGAAAGAGGAGCATAGGTGTTTGTTTATTAAGAAAATATAATCTTACATATTTTATATATATATATATGTAGATGCTATTATTCATATATTCCTAGCCTATCCAGTGAAGTACTTGGGGAAATATATATATCACTGAAGGCGAAAGATACCTAATAAATAGCCAAATATTTAATACTTGACCCAGCAAATTATATGCCACTATTAAATAGTCTTTTTACCAGACTTTAAATAGTTATATCAACATTAATTAGTACTCTCCCTCC